AAAAAAAAAAAAAAAAAAAAAAAAAAAAAAATGCCGGAGGGCACGCCCAGCGATGACGCAGCGGATAATCGTATAATTGTCGCAGGGGGGTAGGCAACCCGGCAGCCGGCACCCCACCCGCCGCCACGCCCCGGGAGCAGCAGGACTACTATATAAGAAGGGCACGCCCCCCGCCACCAATAGCTCTTCGGTATAAACGAACCTTTCCTTCCTTTTTGACCACCACCGACCGTTTTATCACCCCTCCCCCCCACACCACTATTACTCAAATTCCCCAATCGGCCCCACCCGCTACCACTTCAAGCTTATCCCATCCCATGACCAGCTACCGCTACTGTCGTACGTGCAAGTGTTTGGACTTGTACCACGTGAAGGGCGACGCCAAAGACGCCAAGTACACTTGCAAGAACTGCAAGTCGAAGTGTACGTTGTGAATCCTGTATTATTTCTGGAATCCCATCCCTGCCCCTTTTTTTGTTTCACTATGATGCTATGAAACGACCGCTTACGACGTTTGCTTTTTTTTGTATGTTTTTCTTTTTAGTTGCTTGTGCCTCCGGGCGAATAGCCAACGATATATGACTCGGGAGTTTATTGTTTTGCTGGCGCTTTTTGATGTTGTACAATATACTAGCTTTCACTGGAGATTGTAGTTACGTAGTCTGCTATGGCTTTCCCGTCACATTCTTGTATAATAAGCTTTTGACACATCCGTCACCCGCCAGGGCCGGGGCTGCAGCAACCATTGAGGTATGGGGGAAACTCGGTATTTCTGCCTTGCTCTGACCATAGAGGATAGCGTACTGCAGATAGTGAACCGCACCAAACAGTACGTAAGCTCTTAGCTAACCAAACAGCCAGAGGTCACCCCTCTCCTGTGTACCGTATGCCCCCCTCGCCGGGGCTGCCTACACGTGGGCAAGGCAACCCTTCCTCCTTCCCCCCCGTTCAATACGAAAGCGTCAATAATAGAGTAAGAAAAATACTAGTAGTTTAATGGGATGGTTTTTTTTGGACGCGTTTACCGTGAGCGCTTCTCGTGAAAATCGGCTAACATTCTCGACACGAGTGATCGCCGTGGTGATTTTTTTTTTGGGTGGCGAACGACATTGAAGGGAGAGACGCACACGAGATATTGAGGAATCTACCATTCCGCCCCCACCCCCCCTGTCTCAAATTGCCATGTTCTTCAAAAGGACAATTAAACAAAGATTGAATAAACCAAAAAAAAAAAATATCACTTACTTCTACTGTGGGAGTCACGGGAGGGTCATGCCGCTGATATCCCTCCGAGATTTCAGGGATTTTTCCGTGCACGCTCACAGGCGCGCGCCACTAAGAAAAAACAACAAAGAAAGCTACTGCCTAACTAAGGGTGTCATTGTTACTGGCAGAAGCAGGACAATGCCGATAGGGGTGGTGTCCCTTCACCACAGCAAGTGGCAAAACAATGGTATGGCCACCACCCAACAGTGATGTAGCGGTAGCTGCGGCTGCTGGCGCAATTTCCCCAACCGCTGGCAGGCCGAGAGACATTGCGAAATTGATACCCTAAGCGGGAGTGGTGCGGATATTATTTACGCGATTGGCAGCAAGAGTCGTCAGGGGACAAAAAGCATGGTATAAAATTTTACCACAACTGTGGAGGCCCACCGCCAAGCCGATACAAAAGTGGCATCACTACATCACAAACATCACTAGCTCTGTAATGGTAGTGCTCTCTTAGTGGGCTGACTTGCCCTTTTTTATTGTAGTGCTAGTCGTAGTGCTAGCAGTTAATAGCCACTGGTTCTCGTCGTTGATCTTGTGGCGTTGCCCCACACAAAGAGATGCGGCGACAACACACAATCAGCGTCTGAGACTTAATCGTGGGAAACCATCTTACGACATTGGCGTTGGAGGCAGAAGAGGTAAATCTCCTAACCCACCGCGCCAGCTGAGAGGCCGATCATTTGTCTAAATCGGGAGGGGGCCCATGGCTCGTATATCTATAAATAGGAAAACATGGCTTCCCCGACATCACATCCACCACAAAACCAGAAATAAGCTTTTTTCTTTGAAGTAGTGGTTGGCACCATTGGACGTCGTGATCGGCAGCCAGCGTGCTAAGAATAGGTCATGTCTCGTACGGCTAAAAATGGGTCCCGTGTGGTGGCGAAGTCTCTGCGTTTGGTTTCGTATTGAACCAATCGGCTACCGTCACGATAACACCAGTCGTATCCAAATGCGGCTGTTGTTGTTTTGCCAGTGGAATTATGGGGGTTGCCGAATTCCAATTGACGGCGCGACGAAATAAACACCAATAGTGTCGTATGTGCAAGGGACTACTATGGATTAAAATTTTAGCCATTAACCATCGATGAGTGTGATGCCTAGGTGTCAGTAGAGAAACTCGGTTCTAGGATTGGTGTGACTCATATCGATTACGAACCATGGCTTTGAAACAATCAGAGGCTTATCATGGTGAAAGCACATCGAATCTAGAGGCTTAACTCGAAAATTCGGTATCAGCCGTTCCTGTATCGTAGGTAGCTGGTATCTCTCTCTCTAGTGGTCGACTTTGTGGCCCTCACGTGGCCGTCACGGGAAATCCCGATAGTGGTGCTAATGCCGCCACACCCCCGCCACAGTTTTCGATCCTGATGACAAAGTGAAAAAAACTCTTGATTCTGATTAATAGTAGCTGTCTAACGGTCAAGTAGCCATTTTCCGTTCCGAGATCTTTTTTCCATAAATCGGGGTTAAGTACCCCCCCTCTCTTCCCCACAAAGTAAACCTGATCTGACAAATCATCCACAATTAATGACTTGAACTACAGTAGAACATCAAGAAATTGAACATCTACGTGATACACCCTTACATGCTACCTCCTCTATCTAGCCAAACCCTGAATTTTCTGGAAAATCATAGCCCTTCTTTTAGTGGTGTTGGTAGGAATCCCTTGGCTGCTCCCCACTTGCGCGCGCACTTGGCACATCGCTCGCAATCCGCGCCCGGTATATCTAATATTCAATTGCCTCTCACTCACACCCTCTCCGTCTTATCCACAAATGTCCTCCCCCACCGAAGGCAAAGTAAGTACAATTCCAGACAATCAAGCGATCAATCGTCATCCCCATCAACAGCACTAACATTAGACCATCCATTGCAAGGCCGCTGTCGCCTGGGAAGCCGGCAAGCCCCTCACCATCGAAGACGTCGAAGTGGCGCCGCCCAAGGCGCACGAAGTGAGAATCAAAGTCACCCACACCGGGGTGTGCCACACCGACGCCTACACGCTTTCTGGCGCTGACCCCGAAGGTGCTTTCCCCGTGATTTTCGGCCACGAAGGCGCCGGTATCGTCGAATCCGTGGGTGAAGGCGTCACCACGGTTAAGCCCGGCGACCATGTTATTTGCTTGTACACTGCCGAGTGTGGCGAATGCAAGTTCTGTAAGTCGGGAAAGACTAACTTGTGTGGCAAAGTGAGAGCCACTCAGGGTAAAGGGGTGATGCCCGATGGTACGCTGAGATTCACCTGCCACGGCAAGCCGTTGTTGCACTACATGGGGTGCCTGACGTTCTCGCAGTACACCGTCGTCGCTGACGTGTCCGTGGTTGCTGTCGACCCTAAGGCCCCCGCCGAACTGACGTGTTTGCTTGGCTGCGGTATCACCACCGGTTACGGCTCGGCCACCATCGTCGCTGACGTGCAAGAAGGCGACAATGTCGCTGTGTTTGGCGGTGGCGCTGTCGGTTTGTCGGTGGTGCAAGGCGCTGCTGAGCGTAAGGCGGGCAAGATCATCCTCGTCGACATCAACGATAAGAAGGAAGAGTGGGGGAAGAAGTTTGGCGCTACCGACTTTGTCAACCCCACCAAGCTTCCTGAAGGCACCACCATTGTCGACAAGATCATCGAGATGACCGACGGCGGCTGTGAGTTCACTTTCGACTGTACCGGTAACACCGACGTGATGAGACTGGCGCTTGAGTGCTGCCACAAAGGGTGGGGTCAATCGATTATTATCGGTGTCGCTGCTGCTGGTAAAGAAATCTCCACTCGTCCGTTCCAATTGGTCACCGGTCGCGTGTGGAAGGGGGCCGCGTTTGGTGGTGTCAAGGGCCGGTCGCAATTGCCCGGTATGGTCGACGACTACTTGAACGGCAAGCTCAAGGTCGACGAGTTCATCACCCACCGCCACCCGTTGGAGAAGATCAACGTCGCCTTCGACGACATGCACCACGGCGACTGCATCCGGGCGGTGATCGACTTGTGGCAGTAGGCGCTCCGTATATATAAATAAACCTGGTAACCACCAAGGTGCCCATTGAGGTATGCACCCAACAATGTGTAGTTTCCAAGTAGGAAAATATCCTCAATCGTTCGCAACAGCTCGGAACCATTATACAACGATTGACTTTGACATTGTTATGGCGTACTTGTCAATTCGCACTGTGTGCAATTGATAACCGCGATGAACACCAATTAAAGAAGACCAATAGAGAATTGAATCATTCCAATCAGTTCAATCATACCTCTACTCATTAACAAAGTAGCAATTCTAAACTTTAATAGAGTGCTCAAAGTCTACGATGTGATCTCTGACTCAGGGGTACCCATTTCTCAGCATTCAAGGATAATCTACTTAGAATCTCTCTTACTGTAATTGTTCTATTATACATAACGCTCATGCTAAAAAGTTTTAATCTATGCGTCGGCCTCGACGTCACTGAACCCCATTTCCTCTTCTTCCACGTCGTCCGCTTCGATATCTTCGTCCTCGAGTTCGATATCGGCGATACCACCTTCTCCGTCTTCAAAGTCGTCTTCTTCTTCTTCATCCATGTCATAATCACTGCCTTCGCCATCCTCTAACGCCTCAATGTACTCGACGTCCAGAGCATCACCCAAAACGTCATCGTCTTGAGACGTCAAAATCTCTCGCTTAAGCCCCTGTTGGTGGTACAAAAGAGTCAACCGACCTTGTAATTCAAGTAAACGAGGCATGGTGTCGGCCTTCTTGATGAGGACGGCGTGGAGACTGGAAAGCTTCACTGCCAAATTAGGCATCAGGGCAAGCACCGCTCCGTGAATGATGATGATCCATTTGAGCCAGAAATTAAGCTGGTCAAACTTGGTCGCCTGTCTCTGAATTCTCTCGCTTAACCGGTCCAAAAGGGTCACTGCCAACAGCGAATCAAGCTTGGCAATAGTGTTTTTGATCACTTCAGGGTCACGGTTTCCCAACACCACTTCTAAGAGACTGTGGTCGTTATTACGTAACGATTGCGACAACACAATTGATAAAGTTGCAGCATTTTTACCCCCCATTTTCGCAGCCGGTTTCGCCTTTGAGGTGGTAGTATTAGGATGAAGCTTTTCCAACTTCTCCGCTAACAGCTCGCCTTCATCGTCGTCCAGGACATTATCCAAGTCTCTTAAATTATTACCGTCACTGATAATCGTATTAGCTTCCGTGTAGTGCTTGGTAGCGGCGATATCGTGCCCCTGGTTGTTGTGGTGGTCGATGCTCTTGGTGGTGGGCTTCAGCTGAGAGAATTCTACCTCTCCATCCATTGAGTACAGGTCGTTATCAAACCATTTAACGCGATTGAAATGAGGGATGGTGGCCAGTTCCATCCACAGGTATAAGATTTGCGACCCGTCGACAGTAGCAGCAATAATGGCTAAATCAGCATCGGCGGGACTCAGTACTTGTTGTGGCGGTCTCACCACTTTGAAATGAGCCGAGGATTGTTTCAGCGGCACCACGGGACCGCCCCGGCGCCGTTTTTTATTAGGCTTTTGCTGCACCGATGTTTCTCCCGAGGCGGCCCAGTCATTGAAAACATCGAGGGTGCCGTCGTCGCCGCGGGCGACTAACACCAGGCGCCCGTCGCTATCGCCGAGAGCGAAATCCGCCACCGGCCGCAGCGCTACCAATACTTGACTGGTACCGCCTTTAACCACCAGATAAACATTAATAAACCGGTCGCCGTGAGCCAGGGTAACAAATACGTCTTCCAGCACCAGTACTAAACACTCGATAGGCTCCACGTGACCGGGGAACGTCTTGGTAAGGGTATGGTCGTCGGCGCTCACCATATACACCAGGTGCGATGCCAACAATAAGTAGGCCTTACCCAGCACGGAGACGCTGCCGATACGTTTGATAGGCTCGGGGGTGGGGAGGACGTCCGCCACTTTGAATTGCAGCACCAACTTAGCGGTGTTGACGTTGTACTCGTAGATATTGCCGCCGACGTCGGCGCAGTAGCCGCGCTGGGTGTAGTCGCAGAAGTAGAAGTCCAGCACCGCTAGCCCCAGGGGCGTGGCCAACTGGAGCTCTACCCGGTTGTGAGTAGGCAGAAACAACTGGACGGCACCTTTGGCAGTGCCGACGGCGACGACAAACTCGTTTTTATAGGGGATCCACGATGTCAGCGTCGCCTTGGTGTGGCGGTCGAACGCGAGCAGCGCCAGCACCAGCAGCTGCGACGCGACCACCAGCTGCACCCGGAGGTGGTGGGCGTCGAGCGCCACCTCGACCGTGGCCAAGAGGGTCCGGGTCGGGTCAAACCGACTGCAAATCACGGTCATGGGTATGGGGTTGGGGCGAGGATGGGTGCGATAATAAGCGCGCGATGAGATGAGCGCGCGCGATGCGATAAGTCAAAGATGAGAATGATTCGAAGCCAGTGTGAAGCTGATATGAAACGGGTTATTTGAGTCGGATAATCTATTGTTAGGTTTGCCTTGATTGAACCTGCCAGAGAGGATTGATAGTGGCTAGGGCCGTCGTGACTGGACTTGCCTTGTCCAAGAGGGATGGGCTAATATAAGGATGACAGGCTGACTTGCCAGGGAACCTTTATTCTATTGATGTCAGTGAAGACAATAATACCGGGAAAACCAATCATATCGTGGTATCTTTAATGTGGGTGGTTCAAAGCGAGCTATCCACTGGCAGGAATGGTGACCCTATTCTTCATACTGAAGAAAGAACTACTCGTTGACTATTCTTTGGAGATATGACACCCGTTTGGGTCTATGAACCACGTGAGGTGTTCATAAATTGACGAAATCGTGACTGATGGTTGTGTCTGCTTCATTTTACAAAGTTTACCCATAAGAACCGTTTGCAGGTATTCTCACCCACTCAAAGCAATGATGCACGTTGATTTGAACACGTGTCTTGTTACTCATTTCCAGTTGGCCTCAGTAGTAACGGCAGATTTGCTTTTTATGGGTTCCAAGAAAGAATGGATGGTACCGTTGCCCACACAACAAATAGGGGTGATCTGCTGGATACTTAGTTTCAAGTGCCACAAGCTGCCAATTCTGCCTCACACATCATGAATCTTCTGACTACACCAGACATGACGACAGCATCATAATGGGGGACATTATGCTCACAATCGAGTTCCAGCCCTATTGAACGCATTCGCATATGATCAACTTTGAGTTTCCAAAGATAGCGATTATGGATTACGCCAATGTAATGAACATGGTGATACCTGGCAAATCTATACTCTCAAAAGCCTAAGCTATTGGTAACGAAGAAGATATATGTAACATCATTTCATTATCTAACAAGTACTAACTTCTCTAAATCGATTGCCCCTCTTCAAGGAAGACAACATCCTCTTCAGGGGTATCGTTAAGCTTAGCCATCGACACCACGCCGCTCTCGTGGTCGAACACCGTCGCCACTTTGTTGAGGATGTCGGTACCAATAAGCGTCAAACTATTCTAGTATTCGGCACCTTTAAACCCAAGCGTAGCCACACATTTACCGTTATCCGTCATCTCGGTGACTGACTCCAGCTTGTCGAATTCCAACGTCAAATTGCCGAGAGTGATCGGGAACTGACCTTCATAGTGCCACACGGCCCCTTATACTGGTTGCCGTCTTTCTTGAGGGAAGTGGCGAGGGGCTCGACAACCGCTCTGGGGAAGAGCCCCACGCGCCACTGTCAACGACAATCGGGTAGTCGCCGTGCTCCGGGAAGTAGTCGACGCCGTCAACGTGGGATTTGACCGCCGTCATCTTAAACGTCACCGGGTCGGTGTGAGACGTCCATCCCGAGCCCACTTTGGCGCGGTCGAAGCCGCCAAACGTGAGTTAACCCTTGTTTTGCAACTTGCTGTAGTAAAGCGACGACACCGTGCGTTCCACTTGCCCCATCATCTTCAAGTGGTACGTCAACGTGTCGTGGTCTGAGCCCTGCAGTCTGGCAATGGCAAGAATCCCCTGGGGGAACCACGGCGGATTATTGAGAATACCAAACTCAAAGCCGTCGGACTTGGCGTTGGTGAACTTGATGGTGTCCTTGATGAAGATACCAGTGGCGGGGTTGCCCGAGCCGACATAGTTAATGCTGAACGGCGTAGTGAGGTTTACCAATGTCGTCGAGTAGTCGGTCATGTCGTTGTCGTTTGCGAACCACGTTTCCCACGACCCCGAATCAATAATCGGCTTGTAGCTCACGCCCTCGGAGCCAAACAGGACCACGCCATGGTGCTGGCCCCCTTCGATGTCAAAGTCGAGTTCGATGACGTTGGATGTGGCTTTCTTCTCCAACGCGGATTTGTCGTGGGGGGCACCACCAAAGCCGCCGCCAAGGCTAATAAAGACAAGACGTCGAAAACTATCATCCTGGGTTAATTGAGAGATCAGTGGTGATGATTTCGTCAATATATACTTGAAATGAATCGAGGGGAACAGGGGATCAAGGCATTCCAACGCATTTGTACCATACCCCCGCATTAGCACTACCCACCGATTTAGTATGCTCCGAGTCAAATCGACCAATTAAAGTTCCAGTCGATACCAACGGTACTGATTGACATGATAATGAAAAATCTACCGTAATTGGTGTTGGTACTATGAACGGGCACCTTGTTGGTTGGGTATGACTACACTTGTACTATTATTTCTGGGCGGATATTTCTTGAGCCGTAGCATTCAGGGGTCGATTGGAAGAACAGAGTCATGAATACCAAACCGACAATGGTGGCACAAAACGCAAATTATAGATTATTCACAAATGCAACGTTATGCATGTATATACCTAGTGAAATGACATTATTTCAACAATAACAAGAAGCCATATTTTGTCCGACAAGTAGAATGGATTCCTGAAATTTCGTAATTTCTCTACTAGAGCTTATGTAACAATGAATCATTAGCTCGAGAAATTCTACTCGTCTTCATTGGTTTCCCTCATTTGGAATCGATGAGTTTCTTCGCAGTAGTCGAGATTGGCTAATTCCAATACCACATTTGCGAAGTGAGTTATGGCGAAATTTTGAGAGAGCTTGCAGCAATGAGGGACACTTGGGTTCACAGTTTCGAAGGTGAAACTCCACGCATATGCACCTTGAATTCTATGCAGAGTTGCAAATGCAAGTCTTGAACAGAAATCAAAAAAACAAAGGGCATATTTGGGCTATACTACGTGGATATAGTTTGTGTATTATCTAATTCACTTACTCAGAAAATCATAGCGGCATTCTACAGCGTTGTGCACAGTCTTAACCACGGGTAATGGCACATTAATCTTCTCAGTGAAATTAAAAACATCATCGAGGCACAGCTTAGTATCAAGATGCACAGCCAATATCGTGATGGTATGCCGTCAGTACAATTGCAGACTCAAGAGCATGGCAAGGGTTTTGAAGATTCGATGTTTAGCGATATCCTTACTAATCAGGAGAAGTAATAAGACAAGCACTCAAATTGAAAGCCAGTGATGTCAGGATTGCTCTGTAAATCAGGCACCAGGCACCAACGCGTTTTGCATCAATGGTCTGGGGGGACACTTGACCTCCGTGTCCATCTTCGCGATGGCCCTGGACGCATGGCTCGGACTTGAAAATGATGGACTTGAGTAAGAATGGACTTTGTCAAAAACACACTCGACCCAACTCGGTAACCAACGTACACAGCTACGAGTCAGCTCAGCAACACCGGTTCTCCACCAGTTGTGACTATTTGTGCTTTGTGTGGACGCGTTGTTGCTTTTGGAGGCGTTGAGCAAGAATCCTAGAGAAGTATGCACGGTGCTAGAAAACTATTGGGTAGTGCAATTTACCAGTTTTTAGGGTGATAGTCGTATGCCTGAAGCGTGGAATTAAGAACTCCCTCTGGTAATCCCACGCATGAGCCTTCCATATGGATGCGACCCTCTCCCATAACACTTTTGAGCACGTGGGGGTAGCATAATTGCAAGTAGTGCAAGTGAAACTGGTGTTGGTGGAGCTACTTCGTAGCCAATGTCCTGCATTCACCAATCCCGTATACGTACGGTTTCTAAAGTGGATCTTGATACATCTTTCCAGAAGCTTCCCATAGATACTTTCTTTACCAACCGTTCAAGCATTTCAGAGGGTTGACACCAGGCATAAATTCTCGCCACCAACGCTCCGGGGTTAATCAATTCACATCCCCACAAAGCCTGTTGGAAATCTTAAAGTGGATCTCGATATGTTTTCATTGGCCACAGCCGCCGCTGGGGATGGCCAGTGTGCTTGATAAACAATCAGTAAGCTTGTATATTTAGATTGGGAAAAAAAAAGGTTTTGACGAGGGAAAAAGAAAAAATTAGACGATGGAACGCGAACGAAAAAACGCGCTTGACGAGACCGACGCGAACGGAATAGCGCGATAGGGAGGACTCAAACAAAGGGGCGGGGTAATGAGGCCTCGGGGGTTCAATCCTGGGTAGGGAAAATTGGTGGGACGTAGCAATTAGGGATAGAGAGCCATTGGGATGATCTTCTGTAGTAATCTTCTTCGGGGTGGAGGTCTAGCCACCATGTAGGAGACACTGGACCCCAGAACCGTCACGACTCACAGGGTAAAAATACAATCTCACGTGTTTGTAAGCTCGTTGGAGAGTGGACGTTCAGTTGACCGTAGGGCCACTATTACACAGCGATTCCGCTCGTGGTAGTGGCGCGGTGTACTCTTTGCGATTGCCATTTCACAAGGGCCACGACGTAGCGTGCAAACCACAATAGCGCCCCAGAGGTCGTGTGTTTATGTGGCGTGCAAGCTCCAAAAGGTCGTGTGGGTGAAAGAAGTAGATCTGATCGGCGGTTTTAGATTTAATCGGATCTTGCGTACATTTTACGGTGAGAAATGTAAATATGAGTGCATGCG